ATATAATATATATATATATATATATATATATATATATATATCTATAAAGCCTAACTTTTTCGTTTCTCTGAAAGCTCAACCGTGTCCTTATTATAAAAATGTCCAAACGAGTCCCCCATTATTTGGTTATTGCTCTTTCACTGATCGACGTATACTCTTTTTTGCAAATTGAAACATAGTCCTTTAGGTTTAACTAACAGTATAACCCGTACCAAAGTGGGGCCTCCGTTCGGTTGTGCGGGGTGTAAAAGTACGCACTGGCAGTGTTAGGTCATAATGCAGATATGGAATCAAATACTTCCGCTATATAAGGAGAATGGCTACTATCTGCACATTACAATCCTTGTAACAACTCTTTCAGGGTGCCGTCGATGGTATGCAGCAAGGTAACCATTTTAATTACTATACCGTTTGTATACCCTTATTATCTAGTGGCAGTTAGAATTTTGCCGACTTAAATTTCAAACGGCCTCTATTATATAAAGGGGAATAAATGATTGTTATACTGATGTCCCGTAAAAATAAAGCGGTCTTTCTCCGCTCCCTAACAGTACAAATGTAGGCTCAATCCCAAATTCCCAGAATAATAAAGGTACAATCCCAAAGTCCCTTCGTGAAAATATTCTTCCGCATCTCATTATAGAACTTACCTATAGTATTTATTGTTAATATGTTCATGATGTTGCCGTCCTGATAATGCATGAAATATTTGCCACTGGACGTAATGTCTCTTGTACATGTTTGCGTGTCGTTAAGTGATGCTCGAAACCCTGAGTTTATAAGATAAGACCTGAATACCAGTTTATAATTTTATGAGCTTTTGAAAATTGAAAACTGGTGAACAGATTAGAAGATACCTCTGCAGGAAGCCGGCCGGCGTGCAATATCCTCATTGCATTATTAATATAGTAAGGCATCACCGCAGTATATTAGTACAATATGATATACTTAGTAAACGATTAATTTAACTGCATGTACTAAACTATAGTGTTTATGGTTCCTCTAAATATGCATGAAATACTTGCCACTAGACATTAAGCAAGCAGAAGTCCAGAGATTTTTTTTTATGTTGCTAATCAATTTTGCAATTATGCTTAATAAAAACAATTAGCGTTGAACAAACTAGTGCTAATTAATTTTGAATTTTCTTCTTTCAACTCTGTTCCACTGTTAAGTTCGGGTAATTGTGCCCAAAATACTCAGAATGTATGTCTTTTGAATGCGGCTTTTATCTTATTTAGAATCCAATCGAAACCCGACATATCTTCAATTGTGTCCCCTATATGGAATACCGTAAATGTTACTAACGTCACTGAGAACATAATAGCGACTAAAGTTTTGGGGCGTTCAGGCGTTTTGAAGTAGACACGTTTTGGCATGTGTGCTATATTTTATTTGTGCTTACTTTTAGTTGTGCTTAAATATTAGTTGTGCTTCAGCTTTGGCTTGTTTAGATATGTATTTTAGTAGTGCTTTGCATGTATTTCAATATGCCTGTGCTGTTATATCTTGTCTGCATGTTGTGTGTTTTAATGTTGTGTTTATGTTATTTTATATTCGGTAAAAAGCTCTTAAGAGCTTATGTTTGTATTGTTATATGTGAACCGAATCAAAATAAAACTTTGGTATTCGTATTCAAAAAAAATAAGAAGACTAACGACGAATAGACAATACGTTTCGTAGGAAACTGAGATGACTGGGCATCACGAACCTTATTGAAAAATTGGGGTAAATTCAGATTTAAGTCATATTAACAAAACCCTACACGGTTTTCCTTTTCTTGGCAAGGTTATTTTAATGAACGATGATAAGGAGATTTGACCACTGAACCATGAAAATGAGGTCAAGGTCAGATGACACCTGCCAGTTGGAGATGTACACCTTACAATCCTTCCATACACCAAATATACTAGACCTATTGCTTATAGTATCTGAGATATGGACTTCACCACCAAAACTTAACCTTGTTCACCGATCCATGAAATGAGGTCAAGGTCAAGTGAAAACTGTGTGACGGGCATAAGGATCTTGCAAGGTACGCACATACCAAATACAGTTAACCTATTATTCAAAATAAGAGAGAAATTAACATTACAAAAAAACTTTTTTTCAAGTAGTCACTGAAGCATGAAAATGATGTCAAGGACAATGGACATGTGACAGACGGAAACTTCGTAACATAGGGCATATATATACAAAGTATGAAGCATCCAGGTCTTCTACCTTTTAAAATATAAAGCTTTTAAGAAGTTAGCTAACACCGCCGATGCCGGATCACTATCCTTATGTCGAGCTTTCTGCGACAAAAGTCGCAGGCTCGACAAAAATAATACATACATTTATACAAGTAAGGAGAGGTGGTATGATTGCCAATGAGAAAACTATCCACGAAACAGTTATAGGACAAACGCCAGATTTTGAGTTTCTTCAGCAAAATAGCCAGAACATTAACCAATTAACAGCTTACTGATAAATCATTTATTCAAACACTTGTTTATTTGTCTTCACAGCAGGAATCTTCTGATTACCACAATATTCTAGATGACTGATCAGAGATGACCACATGTGTACCATGTATTTTAAAAGGGCTGTTCTACATAAATAGATTGTTATCAGCATCAGCTAGTGGCAAAATCTTCTGAATTTTGCATTTTATATAGACTATCATGTTTGTTTTCGTAAATTATTTTGCTATTGATTATGTTGGTAATGTTCTCAATTGAATTGTTTCACATTTTTCAAGTTTGGGCCTTTTATTGTTATAGCCGACCATAGAGCATGGTTTTTGTCTCACCTTGACGGAGTCAAAAAGCGAGACATAGGTATGCTGTTTCAGGAATCAGCGGCGTCAATAGATATAGGAAGATGTGGTATGAGTGCAAATGAGACAACTCTCCATCCAAGTAACAATTTATAAAAGTAAACCATTATAGGTCAAGGTACGGCCTTCAACACGGAGCATTGGCTCACGTCGAACAGCAAGATATAAAGGGCCCCAAAAATTACTAGTGTAAAACCATTCAAACGGGATCATATATTAGTTTGTTATTAGGTGTAGTTTATGGTGAACCACAAGTGATACATTTGTAGGTCATCATATTTGGTATACAGTTGTTTCAGCATTAGCACATCTCATTTCCATGGAGATTATTTGGCCCTGCCCCCTCAGTCATGATCTATTGACTTTGAAACTTTTGCTTTTTTACATGTATTAGTTTGTGATTAGGTCAGTTTATTGGGAACCATTAGTGGTAGGCCAATGTTAATTGGTATTCAGTTGTGTAAGCATTAGCACATCTCATTTCCATGGAGAATATTTGGCCCCATCTGCTCAGTCATGGTCTATTGACTTCGAAACTTTTGCTTAGTTTACATGTATTAGTTTGTGATTAGATCAGTTTAAGATGAACTGCTAATGTTAAGTCAATGATAATTGGTATGCAAATTTATTGGCATTTGCAAGTATCGTTTCCATGGAGATTATTTCGCCCCATCCCCTCTTCATGGTTCATTGACTTTGAAACTTTAACATATATAGTTTACAAGTTAATGTTTTTGTTAGAAGAGAATGACTTATAATAAGTCAATGGTATTTGGTATGCAGTTGTATTAGCATTGGCACATCTCATTTGCATGGAGATATTTTAGCCATGTACCTCAGTTATGGTTCATTGACTTTGAATATTTGCATAACTTATTCAATATGATAAAGAATAGCTATTTTAATTTCCACATTTGTATAATCCAAATTACAAAAAGGCGCGACATATCTCTGTGATAACAGTTTATTTCTTGTTGAAGGCTTATGGTTGCCTATAATTGCTTACATCCACTTCATTTGAACTTTTGTGGATAGTTGTCTCATTGGCAATCATCATGATCATATCTCCTCATTTTTGTATTATGTTTTGCAAGTAAAGTATTGAAGACACCATTTTTTTGCCATAAATTTTTCATAAAAATTCACTTTGTTAAAAAATATTTGCTTGTAATGTAATATATAAGTTCATAAGTTTTTAACAATGTTTAAAGTGATAACCAATCAAAACATTTTTAAAAGAGTAATGAGAAAACTTAAAAAAGAAAGCCAACCAATTATTGTGTATTTTGAATTCTTACTTTTAATTACAAGTGCTGAAATTTTAAAGATTATTGGATAATTGACTTTTTCTATAGGTACCTAATTGACCAGGTGGCAATATGACTTGTACCTTGATATTGGTATACATTCAAATTCATAGTGATATTTATTCATAGATTAAGAAGATTAAAATCAACAATGTGGTATGTTTACAAAAAACAAAGGTATCCACCAAAGACCAACTGATGTCTATGCAATTACACATGTACTAGCCATAGTTCACCGTACTTCCTTCATTATAGAGTAATTTTTGGAAACAGTTCAAAGCTATATAGTACATGATATATATACATTTTTCTACAGTGGCTAGAGGTATAGGGGGAGGGTTGAGATCTCAAAAAACATGTTTAACCCCGCCACATGTTTGCGCCTGTCCAAAGTCAGGAGCTTCTGGCCTTTGTTAGTCTTGTATCATTTTTTTATTTAGTTTCTTGTGTATAATTTGGAGTTTAGTATGACGTCCATTATCACTGAACTAGTATACATATTTGTTTAGGGGTCAGCTGAAAGACGCCTTCGGGTGCGGGAGTTTCTCGCTGCATTGAAGACCCATTGGTGGCCATCGGCTGTTGTCTGCTCTATGGTCGGGTTGTTGTCTCTTTGACACATTCCCCATTTCCATTCTCAATTTTATGTATATCAACAGTAAATCAAAGTTCAAAAGGCATTGATATGACAGAATTTTAGACTATTATATATAATGTATATTTACAATCTCTCAAAAAGTTTCATTTTATTTAGCTAATGAAGAAGACGATGGATTCCCAAACAGAAATTTTGATGAAGACCTTGACTGATCAAGGTGAAAAAATTGAAGAATTACATCAATTGTTACGGACAATCGATTTGCATGCAGGAGCTCAGAGAAAAGGAAATAAAACAGCCATCCATGTTCCTGCACATATAAAGGTATATACATGTATATATTTATAAAAATAAATATATTGTTTACATTTTCTGATTTAATTATTAAAAATCATTTATCAAATGATATACATGTACATGTAAGTCATGCAATTCACTTAGATTCATGCCATTGATAGAAGATTGAGGAACACATATGTCTTTTTAGTTTTATCAGCTTATATACTTGCTTAACCTGCTTAAAATCTGTAAATATACCTTTTACATGTAATCATAATGTTTCAAATAGCCAAACATTGCAAAGTATATATTTCAAGTATTGGAAATCCTGGATCCCCCTGTCCACGCTTCCCTTTGCAAAGACCCAGTTTTACAAATATAATATGCAATGTTCCTGATATAGACCAGTTTGAAAACATATAAATTACACAATCATATGATCTCCTGTCAGTACACATTTATTCAATCAAAATAGTTTAGGAACTTTTTATGTTTTATTTTTGCAGCAAGCTGTTCGTGATGCTTATAGGCATAGCACTACAGAAAACAATTTAGTCTGGACATGTAAAACAGCAGCTGGTTCTATTTTGAAGTAAGTTATAGTAATTACATGAATTTTACCATCAATAGGTTACCATTTATCAATATCCTAAACCTTGAGCAAAACCCATACAATATAGTAAGCTACATCTTAACAAAATGTGAAGCAATTGCCCTGATTTATGAGAAAGCAATTAATGACAACAAATTTGACAGACAGTAACCAAGGACAACAATTAGAATCTGGCTCTTGAATTTTGACTGGCAGATATAGTAAGTCAAGTTTTAAAAAAAAATAACATTAAAGCAAAATTTTTTGACAATTCAATAGTCCATTTTAAAAATACCATATACATGTGTTATAACACCTGAGTACATACATTTTTAAACAGCTTACATTCTTGAGTGAAAGCAAATTTGGTACTTATTTAAGATAAGAGCAGCTCAATAAAGTAGAATCAAGCTTACAATTGGTGTAATTTGAGAATAAAATGTTAATGTTTTCTTTACATGACAAAATCATCAGAAAATAAATCATGTTTTCCCAAATTGCACAAATTGTACTTAGCTTAATTACTTTTTTGAAGGTTACTTGACAGAGACTCATGATTTCCTACCATAGAGTAGGTAACCTGTCCAAAAGTTAAATAATCCTAATCCTAACAACACTTTTTAACATCCAAGCCTGATTACATTTATATAGTTTTTCAAATAAGATTTAATATTAATAGTCGATTTTCATACTTGTTTACTCCTGTTCAAAAGTGTTGTTAGGCTTAGGAGTAAAGAAAGTGTGAACATGAACTATTACTATTTGTCAAAAGCTGATTCATGGTAAAAAAACATTTCATGATACTAGATGCCTACACCATGCATGATTGAAAAGTTAACTACATTTGTACTTGTATCCCTATAAATACCATGTATTGGTTTAAACTGGTATTTCCTCAAACCATTAGTGTTTTTCTAATATGCAATTACTTGGCCAATATATGTTAACCTTTAATCTTCTTCTAGGTATTCCTCAGGAGAAAACAAAGAGTTGTCAGAGGCTATATGTGTCTATGTTAAAGGACAATATCCCACAACAGAAGAAGGTGTTATTAAAAGTAAGTACATGTTTTTTACAATAACAATGCAAATTTACTATGATATTTTTAGTATATTTAAAATGATGTATACCCTTGCTGCTAGTCAAGGGGCATAAAAGTTTAACCCTGTCACTAAGCTACAATGGAATTTAGTTTTAATCAAATGGTATGAAAAATTTACACAAAAAGTTGTACTACAAAACATAGTTCAGGTTCTAATTAAAATGGAATCCCTTTCACTTTTCTCCAGGTATTCCCCTTTATTACATATATGCAATTGGGAAGTGGAGCATCTTTGTCCCATTCTTTTATTTTATATTGAATTCGAACATGTTAATCATTTAAACAGTTAAATTTTTATATGAGATCCATTCTTTGATATCTGGTAATTTTCCAGCACTTTACTCAAACGATTGAAACCTTCATTTATGTAATAGAGACGAACAAATAATTGCAGGAAAAAACAACAGACAAATAATTCAAAACAATTTTAAATTTGAATGAATTAGCCAATCAAACAATGACTGACTTATTTTCTGTTTGAAATTTTGCATATTTATATTGATTTAATATTATTAAATAGATTAATTAGTAAATAGATAGATTAAGTTAGATTAAAAGGGCAGAAATTCAGTTTCTGATTATTTTCTTTTTGTTATATTGTATACAGCTGATTGTGCTATTTACAAATACTTCTTATATGTCAAAAGAAAACAAAATGGGAGTACTTAATATTGTCATTAATATTGAAATTGAAAAAGACAAAAAACTCAATAATGAGCTATTCCAATAACAATTCCCCTTTGGGGGAAAAAGGGTGAATGCTATTTAATTTTTAGACCCCTCCATTAGGAAAATTTTGAAAATATATGCCCCATCAAGTAAATGTCTTTTCTTCCAAGACTCGCCACCTAGAGAAAAGATTCTGTAGTAATACCACTGTAATGATTGTCATTTAATCTATTTTACACCGGCATCAAACAGAAAATGAGCTGTGACTACCCCCACAACCTTTAATTTTACATTGACATTTTACCAAACCCCCAACAGAAAAAAAATTGTTAGTGTACCACCCTCAGGTGGGAAATTTAAATGGAATAGTCCTATTACTGACTTATACATTATATGCACTTTTCAGCTGGTATTGAGACATATTTCAATACCATAAAACAGAGGAGACAAATAGAGGAGGATGGAAAAAAGGCCTCACACAACAGAAAAATGGTTTTGTATGGGAGAAAGAACAGGGTAAGTACATAACATTATTGTCACACTTGAGGAAAAAACTGTAGAATGATAAACAAGCTTATCTATACTTCTCTAGTGTTTTGACTTCACAATGCATTTTATTCAAACCATCTTATTTCTAAAAAAAAAAATTTGTCTTCACTTTTTTTTTTTTTTAGATTTGACAGATTTGTATAGGCAACATGTTGAAGTTACATTTGTTTTAAAATGAAATGCTGCCGCATTTTTTTCAAATTATATTGAGGTTGGTAAAGGGTTATTTTTGTGCAGCATGATTTGCCATTTTTGTTTCAAGTGTTTCCATTCATGAAGCTCCTTAGCTTATGTGATTTGTGAAATGGGTAGAAACAAAATTTGTTATTGTTTTTCCCCCATGAAATGGTCATTTTATTTTGCGCACTTTCATGCACATAATCCCCTTTGCGACCCTCTATAATGGTTAAGTACAAATGATTACAGTTGTATATATTCTACACCGTAAGACCAAACAATGATAGTAGAAGTTAGTTAATATAAATGAAAAATTAATTAATATAAACTCATACAAAACAAAACCATGTATTTTGGTGTTGCTGAATAAGTCTCAAAATGTGTTATTTACATAATTAGATTGAATTGTAATTTACTCACATAAATTATCATGCCTGGCCTACGATAGTAGAAGGAATTTATGTTTAATCATCTATGCATCCGTTTGTTCATCCTTTCATCTGTTTCACTTCAGGTTAAAGTTTAGGTTAAAGTGTTTGGTCAAGATAGTTTTTAATGAAGTCCAATCAACTTAAAACTTAATACACATGTGCCTTATGTTATGATCTAAATTTTAATGCCAAATTAAGAGTTTTGACCCCAATTTCATGGTCCACTGTAAATAAGAAAATCATAATGGGAGCAGAGTATAAATGTACTATGAACACATTTCTTGTTTTCTAATGCAGCTTAATTGCATGCATAGTCACAGGGATAATCACACCTTTTAGTTATTGTTTTAATATTAATTATTCCACTGTGCTAAATTATTCAATTGTACATATTTGAAAAATTTACTTTATGTTTAATTATTTTTGACTTGCATACAGCATTTGGGATGAGATCCAATAAAATTTTAATTAATGTCTGAGCAGCACATTGGTTTTGAAATTAGCAATTATGTTTATGTTTGTTGATTTTTTTTTTGCTTTTCGATGTATTTGGGTTTATTTTAGATTGACAAATAATGCTAACAAGGAAGATTATTCATAAATATTTTTATGATGCCAAACTTGAAAAAAAAACTGCTTATGTTTGCTATTTGTTATTACCCTATTGTAATGATTCTGAAACAAGCAAACTTAACTAGTAAGCATGTTGCTTTGCCACATACCAATATTTTATTAACTAGTTTGAATTTGATGTAGAACTGAACTAATTTTGAAATAAAGTGTACTTTTTTTATTTGTTTCCATGTTTATATTAAAATTCTTTAAATTTGAAATTTATTCAGATTTAAAAATATCTTTGAACTAGGTTGAAATTGTGGGAATTTATTTGATTTATTAAATTTAATTTAAACTTATGTTAAATTAGAAATGTTGCAGTGAAGTAAATGCATATAATTTTTTTCAATATGAAATTTAATATGCATAAAATATGCATTTAATTTCATATTAAATGCATCATTTCATGCAGTGTAATGCAGACATGATTTTTGTTTGGAGTGGTTTAGCACGATCTTCTGTTTAAGAGGAATTCCTATGTCGCACACCAGTTCAAGTTAGACATGTGTCTTTACATTCAGTGCAATGGTGTTTGATAGGTAGATATTTTAACGAAACGGTATCTAAGTCACATGACAGCATTGATTAAGGTTACATTAATAAGCCACATTTCAAAAAAAAGAATTCAAAGGTAAAAATAAAGCATCCCTCAAACGGTTAATACATATGATTCGTCAAGCGTACTATCTTTCGTCAAATGGTAAGAAAGCTCTACAAGATGTGACCGACCAGCACTTTAGCGGAATAACGGCGTCAGTTGTTCACACAATACATTTTTGGGCTTTTTTCGTCTCAGTTGCATAGTTTATCTCATTGGCAATTATAGCCCATATATTTTTTTCTTGTAGAAAAGTTATAAATCTTGAACATGTTGAATATTATGTAATTAATTTATGAAGCTTGTTCGAGACGTTACATTCACTCTGATTCCGAGTGTTCTCTTTTCTACAATTTCACCAATGAACTGCTAAAGTCAGTATATGCCAGTTATTTGATATGCTCTGTATATAATTCGAAGCATTAGCGAACTATGTCAGCATATTGAACTTTCATTTAGAATTCCCTTTGCATTAAATATCCATGTTATATATATAACCTTTTCTATATATATATACACACTTTCTATCTGTATAAACCCACGATCGAGAAGTGCGTACATTTTTGTGAAATACATATTGATATTTTTTAAACTGTCCATAATCATAGTTAGTGTTTTATAGATATTATAGGTCTTTTTAATCGGGAAGCATAACGTCAAGTGACAATTATCAAGCATGTCAGTTCGCCTAAAAAATCGTATCAAATATTCAGTTCATAGGTCAATTTAGTTCTGTGCATGGGTCGACAAAGATGATGGCAATCATACCACATCTTCCTATTTTCATATTAACAGATTTGAAAGTAAATTAACTTTCAACAAGTCTAGTAAACAGTTAACGGAATAAACTCAACAATTTCAACATTTTCATGATCGCTGTTTTTATTTAATAAACATATAGTTTTATTTGTCGTTAATTGCAGATGTAAACAATAAATAATTTGTGTTCCTTTTACATTTATACCTCTATTGATTATTAAATAACGAATACCAAATAAAATACAGACAAAGAGAACAAGTAAATATACGTGAATACATAAATACAATGAACACAAATGTGACGCACAAAAAATGACAAGAACAGAAATTTAAATAATACTTTTACCAACAGAATTATCGTTTATTTTTAGCAATAAATTTGAGAGACCAAAATTACTGAGATGACGCTAGTTTTCTTATCACGTATCAACAAGTGTTCTTATCTATACAATAAAAATAAGATTTTAATGTGTATAATATGTATAACGAGTCACTAATGAGTATAGTATTTTGTTAAACTGGGAAAAAGAACAATACGATTATTGTTCACCTAATAAAAGCTCACGTCTGATATGAAAATTCTTAAACACGGCAATTTGTCATTCAAACAGACTATACAAATCAGTTCAAAAAGGCTTAACTCATCAGATCATAGCAGAAAAACATCGAACAAAAACACAGACCGGACGTGGCAAGGTATTTATTCATCCCTCGTTCCTAATAACAATAAAAAGACACACATAACAGATCGGAGAGTAACTTATTTATACAAACAGAGGTATGACAAGGCAACAATATTTGCATTTGAAACGTTTAAGTCCGACAATCAAATGTATTATGTTTCAGAAGCTTTACTGGCGCCAATTGTCGAACCTGTAATCCCTACCATCGTAATGACTCTACAAAGTTAGTTATTTCCTTGTTACTGTCGGTATATTTTTAACACAACTAAGTATATATTCTTCCTGCTGTCTTAGTTATTAGATATCAAGGGCGAATATTTAATAGTAGTATGGCCTTCATGAATAGTGATATCGAAAATAATCAAATCGAGGAAAGGTTCTTTTACTCGAGGTCAATAGATAATCGTTT